GGGGGGGGACGGGACTCAGACCTGCCTGTAATTATAGCTCCAGGAGATCCAATACCTATTTCTGGCCTCCATGGCTACACACACACACACACACACACACACACACACACACACAATGGTGGTGAGCAAAAAGGAAGACACCCAGCATTGGCCTCTAGCTACCATACAGGCAAGCATAGGCAAGTGCACTAGCACACACATGTGTATATATATATCTACCACCCCACACATATACAAACACACACACACACACACACACACACACACACACACACACACACACACTTCCTTCCTCTTGGTTGCAAGGCAGACCAGGGCTTAACTTCAGTTCTAGACCATGGGCCTCCTTCCCCCAGCATGGACTCACTTCTCATCCTTGTTCACGCCATTTTGATTGTTGAAATTGAAGGGGTCGCTGCTGGACGAGCTGCCGAAGATGTCATCGAACTTGTTGTCAAACAAATTCTGCAGTGATTGGCAGGGTGGGGGACGGGCAAAGAACAGGTCAGAGACCTAGAAATTGTTCGGGTGAGCGCGCGTGCGGGGGATGGGCTATCATGCAACTCATTATTTCATTTTTTAGACAGGGGCATGCAATGTAGCTCTAGCTAGCCTGGAACTTACTATACAGACCAGGCTGGCCCAAAACTCTTAGAAATATCCCTCTGCTTCTGCCTCCTGAGTACTGGCATTAAACTGTGTGCTACCATGCCTGGCTCCTTCCTTCCTTCCTCCCTCCCTCCTTCCTTCCTGTCTTTGTACTTAAACAAACCTTTTTAGCCTGCATGTATGTCTGTGTACTGTGTGCGTGCCTGGCACTCACAGGGCACAAGACAGTGTGGGCTCCTCTAGGACTCGAGTTAAAGATGGTTTTGAGGCACCTTGTGAGTGCTGGGAATCAAACCCGGGTCCTCTTCAAAGCAACAAGCACTCTTAATGGCTGAACCAACTCTCCAGCCCTTCGTATTTTGGGGACAGGGTCTCATAGTGTGCTGTGTGACTGAAGCTGACTGATTTCCGCTTTTCTTGCTCCCACCTCCCAGGTACTGTGATCAGAGGCATGGACCACCATGCTTGGCTTCACGATTCTGTTTTCTTGGTTTGGCTGAGACCTATCACTCCGGGAGCCCAGGGCAGAGGGCTCAGCCTAATCTCCCACTTTCTTATGAGAGAGAGGAACCCAATAGGCACTCTGGCATACATGTGTAGTTGTACCCATCTTAGAGGCAGAGGCAGGAGGATTTTGGGCCCAGGAATTTGAACCCAGCATGGGCGACATAGTGAGACGCCATGTCCAAATATTAAAGCTGAGCAGGCCTTGTCTGAGCAGATACACCCAAGCTAGGAGCCTCTCCTATCCTTTTGTCTCCTCTAGGGACAACTGGAAGAGCCAAGTTCCTCTCCCGAGGCTCCTGTACCTGCTGGGAGGCATCCATGTCCATGAGGTCATCCTTCTCCAGGACAGGCTCACTGTCTGGAGAGGAGACCTCGGCCGGGATCACCACCACAGGACTGATGTGCTCTGACAGGGCTGAGGCGCGCAGGAAGTTGGGTGGATTCTGGAGAAGCAAGACACACCTTTGAAGGATGCTTACCTGCCAGGTCCCGGAGCCATGCCGAGCCCCTCAGGGGTGCACTCACCTCAGGCAGCTGGGGGATCTGAATGAGCCGCTTGAAGTACTGGAGGTTGCTGGAGCGCTGGAACAGATCTTTCAACCTGGGAGCACACAGGCATCTTAGGGGTGCTGGACGTGGTTGGTTGCCAGTCCCGGGAACACAAGGAACACACCTTCCCAGCATTGCCACCCTCTGTCCATCTTAAAGGCACACGCTCTTGGTGGGTTGCCCTCCATGATGCCAGGATTCGATTATGATAGTAGGATTCGATTATGATACCATAGGGCCAGGGAGACGGCTCGGGGGGTAAAGGCACTTTGCCATCTAAAGAAGCAGGCCTGGTGACCTGAGTTTGATTCCTGGGACCCACATAAAGGTGGAAAGAGAGAACCGACTCCATAAAGTTGCCCTCTGATCTCTACATTCACACCACCATGACACCCCCCACCCCCACCCCCGCCACTCTCTCAAACACACACACATAAAAATATATGAAAATAAAATTTCAAAAATGGTATCACGGACTGAGGTCTTTTACAGTGAGTTCTCAGTCACCAGTGATGAGAAAAGAATAATCAATGCTGCAGATCCTGTTGAAGACTGGACAGTCTCAGAGACGGTCAATCTGGATGACTACTTGACGGGACCTAGAATCACCATGGGGACACACTTCCGGTGTTGTCTGTGAGGGTGTTTCCATAGAGGTTTAAACGAGGTGGGAAGAACCTCCTTCCCCTTTGTTTTTGAATTTGGGGAGCACCACCCCTCGGGGCTGAATCAGGAGAACACGGGCCGGCCCAGAAGTGAGTAAAGGCATTTGCTGCCAAACCCAGTGACCTCTGGGGCCCACAGGATGGAGGGACAGAACCAGTTCCCTCCTCTGGTCTACACAAGCACACTGTGGCACAGCCCTACAAAATAAATAATCATGGGCTGGAGAGACGGCACCGACTGCTCTCCCAGAGGTCCTGAGTTCAATTCCCAGCAACCACATGGTGGCTCACAACCATCTGTAATGAGATCTGGCGCCCTCTTCTGGCCTGCAGGCGCACATGAAGACAGAATACTGCATACAAAATAAATAAATACATAACCCTTAAAAAATATAAATAAATAAGTAAACACATGTGTAGGGAGAGAAACTGAAGCCCGGGGTGGCTTCCTGACCTCGGAGGCAGTGTGACCAGCTGCCCCAAGCTCCTGCCGCCATGCCGTCCCCATCACTATGGACCCGCGCCCTCAGACTGTGAGCCACAGAAAGCCGTTCCTTCCTTAAGTCGCGTTTCTCATGCATTTCCTCACAACTCTGACAACACTAGAAAACTGCCCAGACCCCCACACCCATTTCCTCGGGCTGTGGACGGCACGCTGCTGTCGGCAGATTTCTCTTCCTAGGAATGGCGGGCTTGGAGGGACATGAGGGGGAAGTGATCATCTCCACCGTCACTTCCACGCCATCATGCTGGACTGTACCCTCCTCCAGTTCCCTTGGGATGCTTTTTTTCATGTATTTTGTTCCAGCAACTGGAAAAGTAACATTCTATTGTTCTGTTCTATTCTATTTTATTTATTCCATTCTTTGTTTGTTTGTTTTGTTGTTGTTTTGTTTTTCGAGACAAAGTTTCCCTGTGTAGCTTTGCGCCTTTCCTGGAACTCACTCTGTAGCCAAGGCTGGCCTTGAACTGACCGAGATCCGCCTGCCTCTGCTGGGATTAAAGGCGTGCGCCACACCGCCTGGCTATTCCATTCTTTTCTATTCTATGGTTCTCTAGTCTACTTTACCTTCCATTCTTTTCTCTTCTCTTCTATTTTTTCTCTACCCTCCCTATCCCAGCTCATTCCGCTCCATCCCTCCAATCTACTCCGCAGTGCTTAGGGATCAGAACCCACGGCTTCACGCACGTTACACAAACCTTGTGCATCTGAACCAAACGCCAAGAAAGCATTTCCCTCCTTGTCACGCCTCTAACCTGAGTAAAAACACCAAAGCCCAAGAAAGCCGACCAAGAGGAGGAGCTGAGGCGCCAGCAGCCCTCTGCTTGCAGCACGGAACTTCTGCTTACTCAGCTCCATCAACCAACCCCTCCCCCGGGTCGCCACACAGCCTATCAGACCCCAAGACTAAAGGGTCCCTGTGACATTGCTGCAGCTTATCCTGAACTCCAGGGCAGCGAGGCCTCCAAGAATATTCACCTCTGTGCAGGAGAGAAAGCGAAGCAGCTCCCCACAGGGGATGTTTTCCTAAGCTAGGAAACAAAATGGAAGGAAATACAACGAGCTGACCACACGTCCCCGTCTCTCTGGGTTGGCGCCAACAGTAAATGGACGTTAGTGCTTTCGCAAGCTACTGGAATTTCACATTCCAGGAAACCAGCCCCAGGGCCTGTCTCGCAGGATTTAGTAAGTCATTCATCATAGGATGTGCACCAGGCTTCCCTAGTGGAAGGAAACCAGGGGGTTAGTTCAAGCCTGTGTGTGTCCTTTGACTGCTCTGGAGGGCAACCAGCAAGAAAGCACCAGCTAGAAGATTTAGAAGCCACGGTCAAGGACGAAGAAGTTCAGAGGGAAAACACACTACGTCAGGATGGCCACCTCACAAATGAAAGATCCACAAGACAAGGAATAAGAAGGGCCAACCATGATGGTTGGTTTCAATGATCAACTTGATGCAATCTAGAACCATCTGGAAAAAGGTCTCACCAAGGAACCGTCTAAATCAAGGGGGCCTGTGGGGGATGATCTTGATCGCCTTCATTGATGTGGGATGGCCTGAACCACCGTGGGCAGCACCATTCCCTGGTTTGGGGCCTTGGATTGTATCAGAAGAAAGAAAGCTAGCCGACCAGCAAGTATGCATGCATTCATTCATTCATTCTATCTCTGCTCGTGGATGTGATGTGGCTGATACCGCAAGTTCCTGCCTGGACTTTCTTGAAATAGGAGATTGTCACCTGGAGCTCCACATCAAATAAACCCTTTTATCCTTAGGTTGCTTTATGACAGGGTATTTTATCACGACAGACATGAAACTAAGACACTAATGTATACATATACACACATATATGCACACATATATATAGCTCAATATCCTTAGCTACCAAGAAAATGCAAATTAAAACCACACGGACAGTTTTTCTCTCTGAAGTATGAAAATGGCTATCATCAAGAAAACACACATAAAAAAAAAAAAAAGAAAAGGAAAAGAAAACAAACATTGGGTGAGAACGTGGGGAGAGAAGAGTTCTAATACACTGTGGGTGGGTAAAAAGGTACAGCTACATGGAACCCAGTATGACGTTCCTCAAAAGACTGGAAATCCCGTACGGTCAGCCATGTACGGTACCATGGCGTGGTATAGACCTGAAGGCGTCGGATTCAGCACACCACACAGATACCCGCACACCCATGTTCACTGTGGTCCCTTTCACAACAGCCAAACCCCGGAAGCGGCTTAGGTGTCCATCGACAAATGGGGTCTACATACATCCAGGACGGGGGTTCCATTCGGCCCAGAGGAGAAGAAACAGCAGGGCTGGTGAGGTGGCTTAATGGGTAATGTCACTAAGCCTGAGACCTGAATTCAATCCTCGAGTCTCACCTGGTGGAGGGAGAGAACTGACTCCTGAAAACTGTTTCCAGATCTTCATACTGCTCCAGGGACTCGGGCGCATGCGCGCGGGATGCGCTGTGCCCTGCCTGGCTTTTTAATCTAACCTGAGTGCTGGGGATCCGAACTCCGATCATTACGCTTATGAAGCAGGCACTTGACCCTACCCTGCTATGGTGTGCGTTTGGATCGGACTCCACTCCTTTCTCCAGAGTCACTTACTTTGTGAACTGCTCCATGAAGCGGTCTCGGTGGCCCTGCAGGGTGTCGGCTGGAAGACCTGGAGGAAATTGCAAGGAGCATGTGAGTATATGGAGACGAGGGATCAGGCAAGCTGCATCAGAGCTCGGGGAGGGGCCGGCCGACCCACTCTGGCGCTGCTGGCTCAAATGCCCTGAGGTTTGGTGACGAAGGGAACCCCCCAGGAACAGCAGGGGGCTCAGCCTCTGCATTCCTGCACCTCACTGCTCTGGACCGGCTGGGGTGGAGCCTGCATCCCTGGGAAGGAGCGGCTCCATCAAACTGCAGGGCTGATGAAGGCAAGCGAGAGCGAGTCCGCTCTCGGGATGCATCCGAGGCTTTAGGGAGCGGTTAACTCTGTGGCCCCTCAAGGCCAATCCCCTAAGGAGCTGCTTCTCTGAGGTCCCTTCACATCCGGGACCACGAGAGGCTACATATTTCAGCTATGCACCAAAACTCAGTTTTCATTTTATTTTATTTGGAGAGCAGGTCTTGCCATATAGCTCAGGCTGGCTTTGAACTCATGAGCCTCCTGCTTCAGTCTCGTGTGTGCTGGGATTACAGGTGACGGTCAACACCTGGCTTAATTTTATTTAGTACCAATTTTTAAAATTACATTTTATCTTTGCATGTGGGTGCACTTGTGCCAAAGACAGTGCGTGTGCATGTGCACGCACGTGCGTGTGTGCGTGTGCGTGCAGGTCACGCACTGGGGAACTGGTTCTTTCCTTATACTGTGTGGAAAGCCCCACGGCGGCAGCTTTTATTTTAACTCCCCCAGCCCCTCAGTCTCCTTTCTTCCTTCTCTCTCCTTTTCTCGTCCTGACACATAGTCTAGCTATGTTACCCAGGCTGGCCTTGAACTCCTAGACTCAAGCCATCCTCCAGCCTCAGACTCTCCTGTACCCGGAACAACAAACCATGCCACTGTGCTGGGCTTTTTCTTTGTTTATTTGAGACAGGGCTTCACGCTGTAGCCCTGCCTGTCCTGGAACATACTACATAGCCCAGGCTGGCCTTGAACTTGTGATGATCGTCCTGCTTCTGATTACAAATGTGTGCCAACAAGCCTTGTTTTTAACTGTTTTGAGTGAGTGATAGAATCACAAAGTTCATGTATAAATTATGATTATTGAAAGTGCTGAATGTGAGCCAGGCAGATGGCGAGCTGAAGGTCAGCCAGGGTGACATAGAGACCTTGTTTCAAAAAACAAACCAAAAAAAAAAAAAAAAGATAAAATTAGACAGAGGATGGAAATAGCATTTAATTTCTACTCCAAAACCCTTGCTCTCAGTTCTACTTGGAGAAAAACACCAGAAGAAGTCAAATTGAGGAAGATTTCACTTAAAAAAAAATTTGATCAGAACTCAAACCTGTCAAGGTCATCAAAAACAAAGGAAGTCTGACAAGCTGTCACAGCTGTTGGGAGCCCGAGGAGAAACAATGACTAAGTGTTACGGGATCCTGAGTGGAAGCTTAGAAGAGGAAACTGGGTAAGAATGGTAGAATCTGAGTGAAGTACTGACTTTAGCTGCAAGTATGTTACAAAGTGCTGGGGGCGTGGCTCAGTGGTAGAGCACCTGCCTAGAATCCCCCAGTGAGGGGCTGGGGTGTGGCTCAGTGGTAGAGCACCTGCCTAGAATCCCCCAGTGAGGGGCTGGGGTGTGGCTCAGTGGTAGAGCCCCTGCCTAGAATCCCCCAGTGAGGGGCTGGGGTGTGGCTCAGTGGTAGAGCCCCTGCCTAGAATCCCTAGGGAGGGGCTGGGGGTGTGGCTCAGGGGGTAGAGCCCCTGCCTAGGATCCCCAGGGAGGGGCTGGGGTGTGGCTCAGCAGTAAAACACTCGCCTAGTACACACAAGACCCTGTGTTCCTTTACAGCACACACAAGAAAGTATCAATATTTCACTAATTGACAAACTTCATGCTAATACATTAACAACAGCGGGTTGGGCTTGGTGGCTCATGCCTGCAATCCCACTATCTAGGAGAGGGCAGAGGTAGGTGGGTTAGAAACTCAGTTATCCTGGGCTATATCGCGAGCTCAAGGCCAACCTGATACATATAAAATCCTCTCAAATAAACAAAAGAAATATATAAATAAAAGTAAGTTCACCTATACTTGTTTATTTTTATTTAACTATTTAAAAAAATATTTATTTTTGTGCATATGAATGTTTGACCTGCATGTATATCTGTGTACATGTGAGTGCAGAACCCTCAGGAGGCCAGAGAGGATGCTGGAGCTCCTGGAAGTGGAGGTATAGATGCTGTGAGCTACCATGTGGGCATTGAGATTCAAACGCAGTGCCGGAGTGGGAGTGCAGGGTTTCACACACGCTAGGCAAGCCCTCTCTGCCAACAGAGCTACACTCCCCGCCTGTAACTGATGATGTTTCTAAGCAACAGCCTCTCCTTCTCCTGGGATTTGGTCCACCCTCTCTGCTTCCTGGAGGCACACCCTATGGCACCCAGCCTTTCTAATCCTGGAACAGCAAATTGCAGTCACCCTCGAGGGAAACGACCCCCAGATTAATCACAGTGATGCTGCTTCTCTTGTCTAGTCTCAAATAACCAGGTTTGGTTGAGGGAGACAGGTCCAGGTAGAGGCACTTGCTGCAAACCTGATGAGCTGAGTTTTGTCCCTGGGACCCAGATGAGAGAACTGACTCCTGCAAATTGTCCTCTGACTTCTACAAGTATGTATGAGCACACACATGCGCCAAAGAAACACATAAATAAATGAAATAAAACAAGTCATTACTTGTTAGTTAACAGTTACAAAGTGCCCCTTGTTACATATGGGCGTGTGCGCACTTTTTTTTAAATTTAACATTTTTCTCCCCTTGAGATAGGGATTTACTAAGTTAACTGGGTGAACCTTGGATTCAGCATGTAGCCCTGGTTGACAATCAATTTCCCATCATCTTTGAGAACCTCCAAAGTTCTGGGGTTCCAGGCACGCACGCATGCCCACGCTCAGCCATGTTCTACACATCTAAAACATACCCTTGTCCTTTCTGGGCTATGAAACCTGAACAGTATCCTCCTTTCAGATCTACAAGTTATTATGTTTCCCACCATGCTGTAGGCATTCTTCAGAGGCTGGGAGCATGGCTCAGTGGTAGAGCACTTGCCTAAAATTCCCCAGCGAGGATTTATAGTAGCTATATCTGGGAAATCTGCATTTAAATCTGCATTTAGATGGTAGAGTCTAAACTATACCAAGCTGGCCCAGTAATAGCTGGCTTTAAAAAAAAAAAAATGGGATGGTGGTGGCACATGCCTTTAATTCCAGCACTCATGAGGCACAGCCAGGCAGATCTCTGTGAATTGGAGGCCAGCCTGGTCTACAGAGTGAGATCCAGGACAGGCACCAAAAACTACACAGAGAAATTCTGTCTTGGGGGGAAAAAAAAAGAAAGAAAAAAAAGATTGATTGATTTTTTTGTGTGTGTGTGTGTGTATGTATGTGTGTGTGTATATATATGTATATGTGTGTATATGTATGTGTGTGTGTATGCACTCATATGCAAGGGAGAAGGTTAAAGGTCAACTTGGGCAGTAGATTCTCTCCTTCCATCATATGGGTTCTGGAACTAGCACTCAGGTCATCAGACTTGGTGGTAAGTACCTTTCTCCTGAGCCATCTTGCCAGCTTGTGCCCAACCCTCCCAATCCCCACAGCCTACCCAGGCCCCCCAGCCCTGCCAGCCTGCCCTTGACCCCCTGCCAGTTGGGCCCAGCACCCCATATTTTAAACCAGGGCACCAAGCATAAGAACTTCTACAAACCAGCAGCTCTCAATTTTCCTTTTTTTTTTTTTTAAAGGGTGCAGCAAGAATCTGCTGCTTGGCAAAAAACAGCCCCCCCCACTCCTCCACCCCCGCCTCCCCGCCTTGGATCAGCTGTGATTTGTTTATTGGTTTATTTAAGAAAGTGTCTCACTATGTAAGCAAGGCTTGCCTGGAACTTAGTATGTAGCTCAGGCTGGCCTTGAACTGGCAGAGATCCTTCTGCCTCTGCCTCCAGACTGCTGGGACAGTAGGCATGTGGCACCAGGCCCAGCTACATTTAATTTTTCTGCATTGAGGGGATGGAACTCAGGGCATTATGCATGCTAGTTAAGCTCTGAACAACTAAGCCACGCCCCCAGCCCCTCACTGGGGGATTCTAGGCAAATGCTACAAATCATACCCTCCGCTAGGGAGTCTCAGCAACTGTCCTATGCTGAGCTACATCAACCCTGCAGCTGTTTTCTATTTCTCCATAAAACTCCATCTGTTACAGGGGATTGGGTTGCTTTGGAGGTCATGTAGGTGTGGGTCAGGTAGGTCAGCTGTCCTTTTTTTTTTTTTTTTTTTTTGGTTTTTCGAGACAGGGTTTCTC